TATGGTACAGCAATTCTACTCCTGGAAATGTACCACAAAGAATTGAACATAAATATTTACTATGAACAGAAAAGAATAACATCAAATGGACCACAACACATGTTCAACAGCAGTAGTTAGATAAATAGTGGTATATTTATGCTATATATGGGAATATGGATGCATTTCATAGGTAATGCTGAAAGAAAGAATCCAGACACAGTGTATGTACTTATAGGACTTGTTCCATTTATGTGAAACTCAAACAGGCAAACTTAATCTATGCTAGTAAAAGTTTAGGAATTGAAATTGACTAAGGAGCAGTGAATAAGCTTTCTGTGATATTGGGAGCTATTATATATGTCGGTCTAAGGGTTGTTATATAGTACCATAGTTTACTGAGTTTTACACTTAATATATGTACATTTTACTGTATATCAGTGAATAATTGACTAACAATTCTATGATATATTTGCTTCTACAGAGAAAGAACATGAGACTTACAGATAGTAAGTGATAATGCTCATATAATCAGTAATTGTTGGGTCTTGGAGTAAAAAGGCCCCCAGATTTTAGGATTCTAAATCTAATGTTGACTGCAAATTCCCATGTGGTTTCTCTGTAAGATAGAATAGTATTTGCAACATTTTTACATTAACATAACATCTAGCATAGTTCTTGTATTTATGAGGTAAACAATAAATATTTACTGATTTTAAAGAATAGTCACAATATTAGATGAGAGTGGACATTAAATTTATAATTAATATTTAATTTCAAATCATAGGTTTTTAAATTTCTATTTAAACTTTGTTTTAATCTTCTAATTCCTTACTAAATAATTTCTTTAGGACTCAGTTTCTCACTTGGATTCCAGGTCTTAATTAAAGTCTCAATATGAATTACTTGGAACATATTCAGTAGTTTATTAGTTATGGAGAGGGCTGTTTCCTTGTTTAGTTAATTCTAGAATAATATAATTAATGTAATGATAAAGTAAGACTTTTTTTGTTTTCCAGAAATTAACTTTAATCTGTTTTATATTCTTGGTAATATATAGAGCCTGTTCCAAAATACTTGTTTTTATACTAGAATTCTAACAATGTGAGGGAAAAAATGTAATATAAGAAATATAGTATTATTATTAAACAGAGCTAGAAGAAACAGAAAGAGCTCAGTAGATGAGGATCTTAAAGAGGAGTCTGTATAACAATTGGAGAAAATTGTGATCAGATCTTAGACTGTTTCTTAATATGAGGTGGACTAATGGCATCGCCAGAATAAAACTCTTTCCCTTTTTCTTCCTGGGATTGTTGAGATAGGTGCCACAAGACATCCTTTTAAGTATGATCTTTTATGGAAATTTGCCAGACAGTAATCCAGTAGGTTCAGCTGATAATCTATGTTTTTTGAACCCACATCACTAGAATGTATATGTTTGTAGAATGTACCAGAAGCTTTGTAGCTAGCCTATAATTTCATTTTTTTAAGTGCTCAAACTTTATTTTTTTCAAGGAAATGTGTATGTTATTGATAAGTAATAGTTATAATATTAAAAAAGAGAATCTGGGTTTTATTTTTTGGTGCTCAGATACATTAACTAGTATTGTATAATCATATATAAAATTTTATTAACTACTGAATAGATAAAATGAGTCATTAAAATTTATATAAAGTGCACACACACACACACACACACATATAAAGGAGTCACAATACTTAGTATCTGTGTACCCATATAGAATTTAAGATAAACAACTTTATTGTTATTGTTCAAGTCCCCCTGTACCCAATTCCCGTTTTTCCCCATTCAGAGTTAGAGACTGTTCTGAATTTAGGATTATTATTCCCTTGACTTTCTTTATACTTCTAATATATGTTTGTGTCTACATGGAGTATCCTATTTTGCTTGGGATCGTACTGTATGTGTTCTTCGAACTTACTTTTCACCGAATATTATATTCTTTGGGTTTGCTTACTGTTACTGTTTATAGTTATAATTAATATTCACTTGTATGTAGTATTCTGTGACTATGTAGTACAGTTTCTGTGTCTTTTCTGGTACAGGATATTTGGGTTGTTTCTAGATATTTGTTATAATAAGCAATGCTGATAGAATACTTACATAAAATATTGATAATTAATATTGCTTAGAAAGAGGAAGTATTGGATATGCTTATATGCATATGATAGAATATGCATATTTCTCTTCATTCCTACAGGGAAATACATTCACATAGAACAATAGAGCTCAATGAGACCTACTATCTGAAATCTACTATCTGAAGATCTACTTATTCTCTGTACTTGAAATTCTGTAAACTAGTACAATGTTTGACCATTGGGGCAGAGGTTGATGATATTGTGTAACCCTATTAAAGTCTGTTTTTAAGCAGAGACCAGTAAGAGAACATTTGAGACATTTCTTATATAGCCTAAAAACTGCCACTGAATCTTTAAATTGAAGCATGACATTGTGCAGTGATGCGCAGAAAGAGGACGAGATTACAGAACAAATCAAGGATGTCTTATGGAAAGTTGACAGAGTCTCTTACAAATACAATATCAAACTGCAGTGAGATGGAACTGAAAACTTACAAAGGAGAGGCATACTTTCTGGGAGACATAGAATTTGTCACAAATGGCACATCTGGCTTCTTGAGAGTTTCATTCATACATACTATTCATGAGCTCATCAGAATATTGAGTGACAGAACAAGGTCAGCAGTAGCAGACACTTAGTTACACACTATGTGTGAGCTTTGAAGTAATTCTAGCAACATAGCTTTACGGAGTTGGAGGTGTGTGCAAAATAGACTCTAGCAGCACTCCTAAACAACTATTAATTAGAGAGTAACATGGGGAAAGCACAAGCTGAGAAGGCAGAATAAATATTTCAAGATTCACTACAATTCATCTTAAGCAACTTAGTTCTAGTGGGAGAAATCCAACAGTTGAGGAGCAGCATGGCATGCAGATATAAAGGATGGATTTGCCAGCCAAAAGCTTCAGACTGTATCTAAAAAACAGGACCACAGTGATAGACTATTTAAATAGCAGGCGCAGCTGCTAACAAAGGGGCTAACTTAATGGGTATTCTATGCAGAAGTGATTGTTGGCCACATTTTATGGTCTTGGGTCATAAACATAAACTCAGGAAAATATATGTAAATAAAAGTTCTGATCTGCTTTCCACTGCTTTATCAAAAGATAACAAAAATTCTTTTTAAAATGTTAATTATGCTGAAATATTAGGAAAAAAGCAATATAGAATTTTTAGTTCTTATGACTCATCATATTTTTATTTTATTGGCAGAATGATTAAAAAATGAGTAATGCAGTATAACCAGTAATATAATAATAGCTTTAATATTAGAAATGCCTTATCTATTTTTTCTACTTCCTTTCCTAAATTTTTTTTCACAAAATAGCATATTTCCTTTGTCTTCTTGTAGGGCCTACCATAGTAAGGATTATATACTTCCTAATGGGTGTTCAGTAAATAATTGTTTAATTGGATTATACTCTAAGGATTCAGAAATAGTATATGGTAACCTATAACAGAGACATGCAGGTTTTTTTAATTAGCTTATTTCATAATTAACATTTTAAAAAAAAGGTTTATGCATACAGAACTGAGGTGCAGGCCAGAGGTGCAGGGTGGTGAGAGGATTCACCAGAGACAAAGTGGGGAGCAGAACAGGCAGATTGACAAAGTGCATTGCTGAGGGGAACATTGGGCGGGTCAGGGGAGGTCTGCCATGCCATGGATGCCAGAGGTCTGCCATGGATCGTTTCCTGGGTGGGAGATGGAACTCACACTGAAGGGCTATGGCTGCCTTGCAGTGCTGAGCTTTAATCAATTGCCCACCAGGGAGGGCCCATAACTAACAATTTTATGCCATGATATAACTGCAACAGTCTGAAGATGTTACATGAGACCTGCAATATGTTAACCTTTTTTTTTTTTTTAATCTTTTTGCCTTGAGTCTATAATGATCCTGGTTTTTTATCCATTTTCCTTCCCTGTAGGACTAATTGAATTATATGTATATATGTTACTTTTCCTGATGCCAGGAAGAAAAAATTCCATGATGAGTTAAGTGAATAAAAAGCATGAAGCTGAATAAGGGGTAATAATAGATGTGACATATGGGTGAACAAAAGAATACAACATGGGATTCGAAGGGCTTACAACTACCAGCAGACTATATATAGAGAAAAGGTAGGAAACAGAGCTAGGCAGGAACAGGTCAAGGAAAGACTGAGGAATTAGACATAAAATAATGTAGTCCTCTTGACACCCAGAAAGACAAATAAATACTTGTGCAGAAAAGCCTTCAAATTTACTATTTAAAGAAAACATTTCAAATTACATGAAGCAAAATGTCACTTTATGTGTATAGTTACTTTATATATTCATTGAAATTCTTAATTTACATTTGAAGCTTGTATAATTTGAGTGATTCTGTGATTTTTATACCTTTAAAACATAAATAATATTTTTAATACATAAATTACTTTTTTTATAAGAATATTTAATTTTAAACCTTGCCACTTGTAATTTGGTGAATGAAATACTGGTCCAGTATAGAGCAGAGACAATCATTTTGCTTGTAAAAAATAAATTTGTGCAAAAATACATATTTTGAATTCCTGTCCTTCATGCTTAAAAGTTAATTCTTGGTTTAAGACAGTAGTGAATAGTTGACTTCCCACTACATTATTAAGTTTATTACCTAAAAATAGTCTGTATTGCCCTCTATTGGTTAAAAAGTAATTTTGACAAAATGATTGCTGCTAGACATGTCATTTATATGTATTTAATAATTGAATCAGTTTATTTTAAAAAACATGAGAAAACTGATAGATTAAAAACTTTGAAAATCTAATAGGTGTGGTCATGAATTGGGGAAAAAAGAATAGAATAGAAATTTGGGACTTCTTATTTGATATTATTAAGATAGTATTGAAATACTTTTGCCTCTGATTAATTTCAATTTTCATTTTTCTTTTGTCAGAGCTCCACATCAAATAAGGCGTCCCAATCGAGAAGTAAGACCTCTGAGGAAAGAAATGCCAGGAATAGGCGCACGGGGACCTGTAGGCCGAGCACATCCTATATCAAAGAGTGAAAAACCCTCTACAAGTAGGGAGAAGGATTCTAGAGCAAGAGGGAAAGATGACAAGGCAAGACTATATTTCTTTGTAACTGTCTCACTTATGCCCATGACATTTGGTTCACATTACAAATTTTTTTTTTGACTTTTCAGAGTACTCTTGTTTTGACATGAAAGAGATTTTAAAATGTCTGATTTAAAACCTAGGCAATCTTTGTACTCTGAAGACGATTCTGTAGCAGCAGTAATCTCAGAGATACATGCATGTGCGCACACACATATCTTTAGTAAAATGAATCTTTTGTAGAAATTTTCAAAATAGTGTTTTTTGTTTTTTAAATTTTTTTAAAGATTTATTTATTTATGCATATGGAACTGGGGCACAGGCCAGAGGTACAGGGGCGATGAGAGGATTCCCCAGAGACAGAGCGGGGAGCAGAACAGGCAGATAGACAAAGTACATTGCTGAGAGGAGCAGTGGGTGAGTTTGGAGAGGTCTGCTGTGCCATGTGGATCACTGGGGCTGAGGCTCACTGAAGTAGCTGAGGCTAGCTTGCAGTGCTGTTCTTTAACCCACTGTGCCACCAGGGAGGGCCCAAAATAGTGTATTAAAAATTAAAACAATATGTTAAAAATAAACTCATATTGTTTATTAAGTAAATGATATATGAAAACTTAATTGTAAAAACTTTATAAAGGTATATATACACAAAATCAGATGTTATGATTCATTATTAAAAATTTGAAAAAATCTTTTGTTTAGCCATAAATTTTACAGTAGAACAGATTTTTTCTTTTTTCCTAATGAGAAAATTTCCCTTGGTTAGGGTTCATGGTGAAATGATTGTGGAAATTCTATTTTGTTCAAAAGTAAAATGGAAAATGGGCTGAAGAAAATCTTAACAGAGTAAGGAGCTAAATCAGAATGACCTGATGTATCTGTCAGCCTTAATTTAATTTAATTAATTATTTAAGGCTACATTTTTTTTTAAGATTTATTTATGCATACAGAACTAGGGTACAGTCGAGAGGTGCAAGGGTGGTGAGAGGATTCTCCAGGGTCAGAGTGGGGAGCAGAACAGGTAGGTCGATGAAGTACCCTGCTGAGGGGAGCAGCAGGTGGGTCAGGAGAGGTCTGCCGCACCATGTGGATCAACTCCGGGCCCGGGGATCGAACCTGCATTGAAGCAGCTGGCAACAGCTTGCAGTGCTGCGTCTTAACCCCTTGCTCCCTTGCTCCACCAGGGAGGGTCTCAGCCTTTATTTTAATAAAAAGACAAAAATAAATGTTTAGTGATGATGTTCTTCATTTCCATTGTGATGTTATAAATGGATGATAATGTAATTTAATTGAGTTGCCACAAAAATTTTATTTTCCTAGTTGAGGGGTTCAAGATATATCATGCATGCCGTGGTTTTTATAATAAAAATATGATTAGTAATAGCAAGTAGCTGTTCTTAAAAATTATATATTTGCATATTTTTATTAGATAGCATTTCAGTTAGTAGCTTCTGAATGAAGGGCTCTTGAATCAACCAACATTCTAGGCCTTGTCACTGTTTAGACCATCTAGTGTTTTTTGATATAGATTTAGAAACCTACTTCTTTACCTCACTGTGACACTGAAAATGAAGTAGGACTTTTTGGTTTATAATTTGGTAGAGCTAATTTGCCATAAAACATAAATTCACCCCACCTCAAATCCTTTTCAGTCTAACCAGGGACTATAATGAGTAAGTTTTTCCTGTTGGTGAAATTAAACTGTTCCCACTCCACAGCTACATAATAGACTCTTTAAAAAATGATATTATGTATCATCTTTGTTTCTTCCTCATTTTTCATTTGTATGTAGCATATACTGGTTTGCTTTTTAGAGAATAAAGTAGTAGCTGAAATCCAAGCCTTGCTTTTCTATTATTAGGTAAACTTTTAGAGCCAAGTGAAGAACTTTTAATCTTTACCTTAATTTCATATAATACAAAAGAAGAACCTACGTTATGGTTTATTGGATGCTGCCTTATTAAGTACCATTCGGAATGATTAGACAGTAATTCATGAAACAGCTCCATGAAGCAAGTATAGTTTTGTCTTACCCTCATTTTACAAATGAAGAAACTGAGGTAGAGAACACTAGTAAAGGAACTTACCTAAGGTAATTGGTGATTAGGAAAAGAAGATTGTCAAAAACAAACCAGAGACTCCCTGCAAGAGAGGATGAGGGAGAGATCAGGAGGAGGGAGGGAGGAGCACAGAGGACTGTGGTGATGGTGCCTAGGTGGAAATTGGAGAATTAGGGTAGGAAATTCTATGTGGTCTACACTTGGGGCAATTAAACATTGCTTAAAAATGAATAATGATGTACATATATATTAAATAAATAAATTTAATTGAAAATATATAAGTACAGATGGGAAAACAAACAAACAAAAACCCCACACAAAATAGAAAATTTACCATTTTATTAAACCTACGTGTTGAAATCACACACACACACAAATAGTAGTTTGCGATGACTTATTTTTTTCCAGAGCTTTTTTCTTTTTGGTAATTTGTCTTATTGTAGTTTTGGGATATTGTGGTATCCCCCACAAACTATATTGAAAATCTGGGTTGTGTTTGATTACTATCCTGGAACAACTGACTAATGCTAATTTTTAAATATGAATCTTAAGAACAGAACAATCAGGCAGCAGTTGTTGAATGTCAAATTTTTCTACAGGTTGTAAATGTCCTTAAAGTAATTTTCTAAGTTTTAGCTATTCCACATTGACATGTGAATACTCAGAATGTCACTGGAAAATAATTTTTAAAACAAAAAACAGGGACCTCCCTGGTGGCACAACAGCTTAAAGCACAACACTATGAAGCTATCGATAGCCATTGTAGCAACAGCTAGATCTCTGGCTCGGCAAGTGAGTCACATGTGCAGCAGACCTCTCCTGTCTTGACTGCTGCTCCCCTCAGCAGTATATTTCAGTAGATCTGCCTGTTTTGCTTCCCATTCTGTCTCTGGCAAATATTCTCACCACCCCCACACCTCTGGCCTCTTTTTGTATACATAAAAACAAATGAACAAAGTGTATCACAGGGAAAAATGATGTCATCTTACAAAAAAAAAACTAGTTTGAAGATAAAGGATGTTTACTGAGTTACTCTAAATAAAATTTGTTAATTACAATTAAGAAAGAACAAACTGATGGAAATTTTATTAGAATTTGAAAGGTTTATCAGGTATGATTATTTTAAGCACTCAAATATTCATTAAATAGTAGAGTTCCTAAAACTAACTGAAGTCTGTGGTATGGGTTTGAGATACCTTAGGTGAAGCTGACAGATTGACAGCTAACTTAAAAATAAGGGTTTTCATACGCTGTAGTTTCCCAGTATTGTTGGCTTTTAAAAAATCAATTGTCTACTACAACCTGCTTTAAAACAAATTTAAAAAAGATGTAGAGTTGCCTAGAAATTTTAGTGTATTTCCTATGGTAAAGACAGTATTACTTTGAAGGAAAAAATTAGTTATATGAACATATAAAAATCCAGTTATATAGTTATATACTTTTCATATGACTTATATAATTAGCTCATGTTCTACTTTGTGTCATGGTCCAATGCTTGAAAGTTGTTGTTGTAATTGAAACTTTATAAATGTAAAAAAACCAAGACAAAAAAATGATGTTTCTTACCCCAGATTTTCATTATCTTTGGATTTTTTCTTAATGTTGTAAATAGTATAGTGGAGCAACTAATAATAACAGCAGTAGTGACAAATGTTACTCTTTTTTAAGCATACTTCAGGTCCCTTTTGAAGCTTTTTATATTTTACATATATATCAGCTTTTTTTTAAAAAAGATTTATTTATTTATGCACACCTAACTGAGGTATAGGCCAGAGGTGCAGGGGTAGTGAGGGGATTCACAGAGACAGAGTGGGGAACAGAATAGGCAGATTAACTCAGGGGAGCAGTAGGTGGGTCAGGAGAGGTCTGCCACTGAGGGGAACAGCGGGTGGGTCAGGAAAGGTCTGTCACACCATGTGGGTGAGTTACCTCCGGAGCTAGGGATCAAACTTGTGCTGAAATGGCTTTAGCTTCGTAGTGCTGTGCTTTAACCCACTGCGCCACCAGAGAGGGCCTATATCAGCTTTTTAAATACATTCCTATGAAATCAACTTTTTTTCCCCCCAGTTCTGCTTTAATCCTGCCACATATCCTTTTAATTTGAAAATGCTTACTGTCTTCTTTTAATGTGCCACAGATACCTCTTTCTTTTTAGAGTACCAGTTCATTTTCTGAGAGTGATTAAATATAATATTCTTGTTTAAAAAACTGCTGAAAGCCTTCAGTTTAGGTTTAAACTTAAATATACTACTTTTCAGCATATAGTAATGCTTTTGTAGAGTGATCTGCTCAGATCTTACAGGTCTTTTTTTTCTTAGCAGGTCTAGACAGTCTTATGAGGCCAGTTTGTTACTCCATCTGATTTACACATGGGGTAATTTTTTACCATACTTTGTGTCAATCATACATCTGGATACCAGGAATACAAACTTCAATGAGGTGACTTCTGGCCTCAAGTTAATTATTTTCTTATTGAGGAGAATCACATGAATAAAGTAACCTTTTCTGCTATATATTTCAGTCTCATTTGAATGGAACTGAAAAAATTGGATGTGTTATTATTTTACAACTTAAATCTAGATTTAGTACAGTATATATAGAAATAACATGCATTTTTTTATTTAAAAAGTCAAAAAGTAAAATACTAAATAGAAATGTTTTTGTATTAAAACCAAAAGTAAATTAAATTCATAAAACTGATTTTCAAGTGTCTAAGATTATGGCTTTATGCTTAATTAACTTAGTGAAATGAACAGTGTTTTCATTATCAGCTCATGATTAAAATGGTATATGACTTTAATAGAATTCAGATTAAAATGTGGTAAGTCACATTTGAGTACTTTTTCATGATGAGTGAGTACAGGGATGATACAGAGAGATTTAAAAACTGGATTTGAATATTCTTTTGAGAGCTATTGACTGGTGATTAATCAAATAGTCAGTGACTTAAAATTTTTTTTTATTTAAAAAAATAATAAGTCATAAGGATACTTACTGTATAGGACTTTTAAGGTGGGTTAAGATGGTTTCATGAAGCGCTTAGAATAATGGCTGGCATGTAGTAGGCAGTATATGAATTTAACTATAAAGATAATATGAAAATGGGAAACTAACAAAGACATGATACAAAATACAAATCAGTTCTCTAAATATGGCATGCATTTCCATTTCCAAGAAATTTTGCATGTCTTGGGTCTTGAATTTAAGTAACAGATGAGTTAAATAGCCAAGTGAGAAGCAATGTCTTTACTGAAAGAACCAAACGTCACCTACAGTTCAGCTTAGACATTCCTAGATCAGTTGATTTTTGTTGCTTGATCCACATTTTTGTTTTCAGCTTAAATGTCTTCAATATCTTTGAACCTATTCCATATGATAGAATTTTTGAACCCTTTGTCATCCTGGGCCTCTTTCTGGGTGTAATGTACTTGTAATATTTCTTTTAGAGTGAAAGACTCAGAGAAAGTAGCCGTTTCACTTCATCTGCTAGTGTGAGAAGGCATCAATAAAAAGGCAAAAAAAAAAAAAATTTTGAATAGGTTATGTTATTGACTATAGTTTGGGGTTGGTAACTAATTTTAGCTTCATTTTCCTCAAACAGATTAACTAATACTAAAGAAAGGTCTTTAACAACCTTCCTTGATATGGTTAATTTAGATACTACTAAAAAGAAACAAAAAATTTGACTATAGTAAGAAAAAATATATCAGCTTCATGCTAAATATCAAATTCTTGCTAACGTTGACCTCATGATGTAAAAATCTTAAGCAAAAATTCTGGGATTATTTCAGTAACACTGCTACTAGTATTTATCACTAAATGTGTAGCTAATAATGTTGACATCTGAAAGAACATTTTCTAAGTTTCTTTTAGGTATTGTACTTAATCTAACTGATTAACTGAAAGCACAGTTAACTATACTTGATTTTCCTATTCCAATTTATCTAAGCATTTGTTTTGAAGGATTAATTTTATTGATTTCCCAAAGTAGCCAAATTAATTATTTTTAATTTTCCTAAATCTGTTTTTATGTAGCCTTATCATTTTTATTTGAAAAAGTTACTAGAATATTCCTTGGACTTTTTAGTTTGTATTGAAGGCTTCTTTTCCTAACTTTGAGAAACTTGGGATTCTAGGGCAAGACAAACTTATGCTCACATTTCTTTTTCTGTGAATTGAGAGGCTTAGTTTTGAGTACTCAACAGGCTTTTATATCTCTGCTTCTGCTTTTCTTTTCCACCGTTTTTTTTTTTTTTTTCTGTATACCACCCACATGGGTCATTTAAAAATGTAAATCTTTTTAAAAATTTCTCCATGCACTTAGAGTAAAGTCTAAAATTTTCGCAGGGCTGTAAACACTTAGAGAAGCTAGCCTATACTTCACTCTCTAATCTATTCTTTTTGTCTTTTAGCCACACCGACACCAGTTTTTTCATAGTGCTTCATAATTAAATGTATGAATGTTTCTGGTTTGTTTACTTATTACTTGCTTCCACCACTACATTGATGTAATGAGAACAGATAATGTATTTTCATTCATTTATCTAAAATCTAAAAACAAAAAAATGTGTTAGTAAATACACACATTTATTTTTTATAAAATACTATGATTCCTGTTTTTTTTTTTTAGGTAGATGTACAGCTTTTCCTTTCCCTTTATAGTGTTTATCAAGTCCCCACTACCATTTGGATTGTCCTGTAAATAATGGCTATCTGCTTATATTTTTAATGCCAATTTTTAAATTAAGTCTCTAGTTTCAGTGCCATATCAAGTTGGCTTATTAAGACTGAGATATATATCCAGGTTTTAGTCTTTAGTTGATTTATTCCTAGAAGAGTTTTGAAAGTTTACCTTAATAGTACCACAGTACTACCTAAGAAACAGTAAGTTATTCATTTTTTGAGGCCAAATCACCAGAGTACTGTTTGATCATTTACCTAGTAATTTAAAGAACTGGGACATTTGCCCAAAAGGAAGCCATTTATTCCCTTTTCAGCCTTATGATTGAGCCATTGGTTTATCTTATATGAAGTATGGTAGGAGAGTTTTATCCTGTTCTCTGTTTTAAGATTTATGCTTAGGAAATTGATCATTTTCCCCCTTCATTTTTATATTAGACAGTAACTGTAGGACTGAATCTCAGAGGAGGTGGTTGGCTTTGTCTGCTGAAGTAGTTCCAGTGGTTGAATTATCACTGGCAATCTGAGCATGTTTCATTTAAAGCTCTTCAAAGATCAGTAAATCTTGGCAGCACCCCACAGAAACTATAACATAATTTTTTTTAAAGCTACCATATTATTAAATAAAAAAAAATCGGGGTAAAGCATATAGTTTTAATGCCTTACTAAAATTATTTAAAATGGTCCTCTTTATCATTGCCATTGCATCAACTTTGTGATGAAGTCCAAAGGACCTTTCTAGGAAGAAACCCTGAATCCTGAGGGAGTACTTATAGTAAACAGGGAGAGGGCTAAGGCTTTGTAAAATGTAATTGTAGAGTTCCAACTCTCTTGAATGCTTTGAAGGATGTAGTAGTTTTGATATACACAACCTGTTTTGAGAATTTAAGCTGACTCAGCCAAGTGCAAGGTAGTTTGATAGGAAGGGCATTGGACTTGGGGAGTTATGAAGACCTGGATTAATACAACTACTCTGACATATTAACTGTGGTCTTCATTAAGTTGTTTCATCTTTCTGGGTCCCAGTTACTTATTCTGTAATAATAAAGATAAAATACCTGTTTCTTATAGGGTTGTTGTATTAAATGAGTCAATATGTATGAAATTTCTTGCTAAGTAGTAGGGTTTCATTAAATTAATTTTCTTTCTTCATTTGCATTAATGTAGTTAATTAATAATAGAAATCTTCATCCTCAAATTCAGAGGTAGGCGTTCCCAGTCTATGGTATCTAGCAAGGATCATTTTAATTTTATCTGTAGCTGTTTTTCTGAGAATGTACATTTGAAGAAGTATCTAATAGTTGGTCACTTCACCTATTTCTGATAAATAGAGAAGGTGACATTTGAGCAGTTGGAAAAAGTATCTTAATGTCATTTTAAAATGACTATAGTTTTTAAAAAATTTAACAATGCTAATTAAAGTTGTCGTTATTGATCAATACTTTTTTTTTAAATGTCTGTCCTTAGGGGAGGAAAAATATGCAAGATGGTGCAAGTGATGGTGAAATCCCAAAATTTGATGGTGCTGGATATGATAAGGATCTGGTGGAAGCTCTTGAGAGAGACATTGTGTCCAGGAATCCTAGCATTCATTGGTTAGATTCTTTTAAGTTCTTGAATTAAAGTAGAGGAAAAAGCATGTTATAGGTTGATTTGTTATGAGTCTTATTATTTTTCATGTATGACTTCATTCATAATATGAATGTATAGAATTGGCAGGAAACAGCTCTTTTAGAATATCAGAAAGGTAGCATACATGTTAATTTGATGTTGACATAACTAACAAAGGTGGTTAATTGAGTAAGATGTCCTAATTAATAACTGCAGTGTGTCATAACTGATCACTTTATGAAGTAAAAATTAGAATGTTTTTAACATAAGAACTTCTGTCAGCAAAGAAAAGGAATACTTTTCATAACTTAAAAAAAAGAAATTGGTTTTGACCATATTCAGAAGTGTCCCTGAATAAACATGAAACTTTTGCTTACAAAGGGATGATATAGCTGATCTGGAAGAAGCTAAGAAGTTATTAAGAGAAGCTGTTGTTCTTCCAATGTGGATGCCTGATTTTTTCAAAGGAATTAGAAGACCATGGAAGGTGAGAATATATTAAGATAGTATAGATAGTGTAGAGTTTCTTACTAGATAATGACAGATAGGTTTCTTTATATGTTTATTAATGTAATTTGTAAAGGTTTCTTTATATGTTTATTAATGTAATTTGTAAAGGTATTGGGGGAGGTTTGTATATCCCTTAAATAATTGGATTTAAATTATTTGTTAAGATGTATTACCTTTGTGTGGCAGGAGAAGAGCTTATGGTACTGAAACTATAGGTTTTTTTTCAAGATTTATTTATTTATGCATACAGAACTGGGTACAGGCCACAGGTGCAGGGGCAGTGAGAAGATTAACCAAAGACAGAGTGGGGAGCAGAACAGATTGGGGAGCAGCAGGCAGGTCAGGAGAGGTCTGCTGTGCCATGTGGATCACCTCCTCGGCCAGGGATCAAACTCCTGCTGAAGTGGCTTTAGCTTCTTAGTGCTGTGCTTTAACCCGCTGCGCCACCAGGAAGGGCCTGAAACTAGTTTTTAATTAAAGTCATTTTCACTAGGGGCATTAAGTTAGAGATTAGTTTTCAAAGTTTTTTAGATGTCTGTTTCTGTAAGTAAAAAGTTAACAAGCACAATCTTGTAAAATAAGTGTTTGATCAAATTACTTTCTAAAAGTTGGCTTATTTCTCATTATTTTGATCGCTTCACCTAACTTGGTATAATTCTCAGACATTATCAGAATGTTTTTTTTCTATTTCCTTTTTATAGCTTGCCCTCTGCCTTAGAGTTTGAATTCTGCCCAGGACTAGTTCCTTTCAAGTCCAGTGTTTTCATTTTAACTTATTGAAAATCTTTTCCAATGATTGCTGTGTGAACTTTTTTTTTTTTTTTTTGTCTTAGCCATAGGCAGAGTCCTTCCTTACTGTGGTGGAGTGATATAAAAGCATGATCTTACTTTGCCCTTCTGAATTAGTTAGGAAAGTCTGTTTCCATTCTCAGTATTTTCTCCTCTTTTGATGTGCCTGAGAGGAGATATTTTGTATTTCTACAAATAGCTTAAAACACATGACATTTTGATTCTTCTCACAGTTTAAAAATGTTTACACACTGTTATAGGTTTGCGTTATTTGGAGAGTATATTACTATAATTTCCTCCTTTATTATAATTTTAAGATGATATTTAAAAGAGGAAATAAGAATGTACAATAGGTATTTAAAGAAGTTTTTAAAACAGCTGCACTAGTAGGTACAACCTACCTCTCATGACAAACTCTGCAAGTTTTTAGCAGGAGAGTTATTTGCAGATATATAAAGGTCACCTTGACAGCAGTTTGGAGGCTGAATTGATGATGATAGATTAGGAATAGATGATGATAGATTAGGAATCTGAACAGAAGGCACTTACTCTAGCTAAAGAATGAAGACCTGAACAAAGATATTTGTTATTTAACTAGTGAAAAAGGATGAATTTGCAAAAGGTGTTTAAAAGGTATACGTGATAACAGTATGACTGGTAGTATTATAGGGATGAGGAAGAGAGACAAGTAAGGCTCCCAGATTCCAAGCTTGAATGGAAGGAGAGTATGCAATTGCTACCCACTCTGTCTGTCTAAAACTGTGCCAAGCTTCATGAGTTTTCCACAGCATAGCCTTGAGTGCAGATGTCAGTGGCAAATGAATGTCCTGAGGTTACTAATTTTTGAGCAGCTCACTATAAATTTGGGGATTTCCACTGTTTCCTCTAGTTAATACTTCTCTGGAATGATTTAGGAAAGCATTATCAATAGGTCTGAATTTTATTGTAATATAAAAGGATGCAAATCAAAACTAGTCATAGGAAAAAATGCATAGGGTACGATGTGGGAGAATGCCAAATGTGATGCTTCTGTGGTGCACTACCTGTGTTATTAGGATGCTGTATCCTACTAGTGTGTGAATGTGTGACAACAGAGAGTGTTGCCAAAAGGGAAACTTACTTAAGCTTGAAATCCCTAAGGCTAGATAAAGGATTAAGGCTAGCCAAATTCTTTAATATACAGGGTACAATGGGCTGATAATTGTAAATTGAGAAGAGGGGCAGGTTTAAATAGAAATAAAATATATTTGAATAAATACTCAGCAGGTAATGTGAAATGGAGGCGTGGAGCTTTTGAGTTTAAATTAAAACTGAGATATAAGCAGTGGTTGATAATATGGACATGGATAAAATTGTTCAAGGAGTTTTATAAAGGGTAAAGAACAAAAGACTTAGAATTGCTTTGGGGATGAAAGGAGGGGCAGGAGTTTTTTTTTTGGGGGGGACAGAACTGAAAGATACTGAAGGTAATTATGTGTGTAAAGTACCCGGAAAGAGCAGTATCATGGAACAAGCCTAGAGAGAGAGAGTGAACACCAGCAATCAGCAGCATCAGGTCAGAGAGAAGGCAGGAAAATGGGAAGTGACCATTGGACTAGTAAATACACATAATTAGTAAAACATATTTATATTTTAAAATATTTTTAAACTTAATGAAATATTTTTAGTGTATAGTGGAAGCAGAAGCCAGATTTTACCTCGTGAAGAAGAAATAGGGATCATAAACCATTTCTTTAAGAAGGTTAACAATCAAATATAAGAGGTGGATAGTACTTTGAGGATTTGTAGTCAAGCAAAATTTTTTTAATGAGATAAATTTAAGTATTCTTACATACTGAGAGGGGAAAGTAAATAGAGAAGGAGGTACAAGAAATAGAGAAGATACTTAAAAGAGTAGTGCCATAAAGAAGTGAAATATATAAATACTGTACTGTATGAATTATCTTTATGTACAGATATTAACTTCTGTCAGAACTGGTCAAATTATGACATTTCAGGAAGTGATGAATGGGTATAGAAAAGGGGACATTAGGAGGAGATAATGAATTAGTTATAACTGGGTCTATGCTGCTAGTTGTTTTCCATCTTTTTTTTCTTGAGTTTTAAAATGAGTTTAGTAAAGAATGTTTCTAGGAAGGCAACATTTAATTTTCAATCTTATACACAAGACTGAAAAGCAAAAAAAATTTTTTTTGTAAAACAAGATTTTTTATTAATGTAACATATATATATACATATATACATATGCATATGTATATATATAACATACATACACACACACACACACACATACACATATATAATGTCATTATTTATGCACAATGTTTGCTTTCTTCTCTCACCCTGGAATTCCCACCACCAGTTCACCCAAGCACCTTTCCCATAATCGGCTTGTGCTATTCCCTGCCCTAGCGTGATCCCTCTTCCTCCTCCTCCCCGGCAGAATGTCTCTGATTTATAGTACTTGTTAATTGTTTTTTGTTTGTTTTTTATTGTTATTATTTTTTCTCCAATATCTTATTTGGCTCTCCTGTATTCCTCCTATAAGTGAAGCCATCTGGTATTTTTCTTTTTCTTTCTGATTTATTTCATTGAACATAATCCCTTCTGGCTTCATCCATGTTACTACATATGGCATGTTTATCTTTTTTGATTGCTGAATAATATTACGTTGTATGTATACACTCCATCTTCTTGATCCAGTCTTCTGGATGCATCTAAAATGCCCATTTTTTTTGGCTTTTGTGTTGTTTCCATATTTACCTATTTTAAATAGTGCTGAAATAACATAGGGGTACATGTGTCCTTTGATTTAATGTTATTGTGTCTTTGTAGATTTCTAGGAATGGAATTGCTGGGTCATCTGCTAGCTCAATTTTTGGGTTTGATGAACCTCCACACCACTCTCCATGGTGATTGGGCTAGTTTGCATCTCCCCCAGCAGTGTAGAAGAGTTCCTTTTTCTCTACATCCTCACCAATATTTATTGTTTTCCTGTTTTGTTTTGTTTTTTTTGTTTGTTTGTTTGTTTTAATATGTGTCATTCTCACTGGTGTAATGTGGTATCTCATTGTGGTTTTGAGTTGCATTTTCCTGTTTGGAAGGGATGTTAAACATTTTTTCATATACCTGTTTTCCATTTGTATTTCCTCTTTGGAGAAATGTCTTTTTAGGTCTTCTGTCCATTTTTTCACTGGATTTTTTAGTTTGTTTTTGTTGATTTATGTGAGTTCTTTGTAGATCTTTGTGATCCATCTCTTTTCAATTGTATGGAGTGTGAAAATTTTCTCCCCATCAGTAGGGTGTCTCTTTGCTTCGGCTAATGTTTCTTTTGCTGTACAGAAGCTTTTTAGTTTGATGTAATCCCAACTGTTTAATTTTTCTTTCACTTTCTTTGCTCTGGGAGATGAGTCTTTAAAGATGTTACTGAAATGTCTGTCATGTTGTGTTTCACCTATATATTTTTTTTATGTATTTTATGGTTTCAGGTCTTATGTTCAGTTCTTTTACCCATTTTGAGTTGATTTTTGTGTATGGTGTGAGGTAGTAACCTAGTAAAACTCGGATTTTAAATCTTAGTGATCTCTGTTTTGACTATCAAAATTCTATAACTCAAATAGTACTTGTATGATTTCTGAATTTGGGGAGCAATGAGACTTTGACATATATGTAGTTTTAAAGTTTAATTCTCCAGAAACTTACTAAACAATTAACAAATGGGTCAGCAGTCTTAAGAATCACCATCATGTAAAATAAATGTAGTATTAACTATTTATTCCCTTTAAACATGTTAGAAGAAAGTAGGTATTTAAAATCCATTAGTTTTCAAGACTAGATTAGTTTTCTTGACTAATTTTTATTCCTTATTTAGTTTTAAAGGATACTTTTCTGTTTTCAAATGTGGTAATTAAAATGAAAAAAAGTAATTAAAATGTATTTTGTAGTCTATAATATATCTAGTGGCTTTTTCTATCACTAACACTATATAAATTTATTAACGCTCTAGCACATTAAACTGATAAAATGATAGCTAATTTGCTGGTGTTTAAAACACCAGTGAATTTTAATTACCTAGTAAGTAGTAAATGATCTTTTTTTAAAAATATATATTGTGTATTGTTAAAATCAATTTTGTTCTTTATAAAGACAAGGAGTGTGCAACTTTTTTAACTATATGTAGAAATGCCTTATTTTCACAGCATTCACTCTTAAGCTGTGCTCAAGACTTACCTTCTGTCAGGTTCAGGAAAGTTAAATACATTCTCTCTAAGGTATCAGAAGATGCTTTGTTTTTTAAGGTCCTTTGTCAGCTCACTTGTGATTTGGACTTTCTGTAAAGTCACTCTTCATTTTTCTCTCTATAAAATGATACTCATGTCAAATACACCATGATTTTACTATGACAATTGAGTTTACTTTTGATGGGAAAATTTAATGTACATTGATAATTTATGATACTTTATAAGAGAACATCTTAACTTGATAAATCATTTAATACATCTTTTAAATAAATTTCAGGGTGTACTGATGGTTGGACCTCCAGGTACTGGCAAGACTATGCTAGCTAAAGCTGTTGCCACTGAATGTGGCACGACATTCTTCAATGTTTCCTCTTCTACACTGACGTCTAAATATAGAGGTGAATCTGAGAAGTTAGTCCGTCTGTTATTTGAAATGGTAAGTGGTGATATATTCAGATTTCAGATACACTATATAGGCAAGCTTTCCCTCTCTAAAATCTATGTCCAGTCACCTAGGCATTTTTTTTTTAAAGGGCAGTTGTATGTGTAGTTTTATAGTTTTTTGACCCCTCAGTAAGATGGAGTGGTGGGTTTTGTTGAGTGAATGATAGGTCTTTGGTTTGTTTTCCTCTCTGAGGTAACAGAAGGCTTCTTAGTATTCTATTCAATGAAGGTGAAAGAAACTTTAGAAATACGTGTGGTTTCTCTGATATTTTTGGATTGCTAATAAGCTGGTTGAGCAGAAAATTATTTTAATCTTAAAAATCATAAATTGATTTTAAAGTTTATTCTGTTTTCCTAAGGGATTTCAAAAATAACCTAAGAATACATATTCAAGGAGAAAGGTGATTTAAGGGAAATTTGTTTTATTAAGGAAATTTTCATATACAGGAATAGAAAGAAGAGTTCTTGAAGTGCCATTTATCTCTATCCAACCTTACCATCCAAATAACTTATTTTTATAAATTTCCTTTTCCTGATATGATTTAACCTGTCGATAACCAAATTGAAGGCATTAAGGCAGTGAGAAATTTCTTTTCTCTTGCCATTGTTATAGAAGAAATGGAATTTTAAAAGAAATCATATTATTTTATGAGATTAATAATTTCTTAACATTTTTACAAAGGCTAGATTTTATGCCCCCACCACAATCTTCATTGATGAGATAGATTCTATCTGCAGTCGAAGAGGAACCTCTGATGAACATGAGGCAAGTCGCAGAGTCAAGTCTGAACTACTCATTCAGATGGATGGTAATTGATGTTTAATTGCTGTCTCAAAACTGTTATCTTTTCTTCTTGAATTTTGTGTGGATTCATCCTTAGTGATTAGAAGGTATCCTGAGTTGACTTTTAATTATTTGTTGTTCATTCACTCACTTTTTCAGCATATTTAAAAAAAATTAATACTTGTTATAAGTCTTGCACTATTTGGGGTTCTAAGATTACAAAGAAAAGAATTATCTTTTTCAAGATGTTAGTATGTAGAACAAGGTTAGAGATGTGAGAGTCCCAGGGAACCTTAAGACCCTTTTAAAAGACCTTCAGGGACAAAATTATTTTCATAATATTATCAAGACATTTCTTGCCTTTTTTACAACATTTCTCTCACAAGTGTACAGTGTGGAGTTATTCAGAGGCTATAAGATGTGTGATATCATTAGAGAAAGAAGAAGCAGTTATGAGAATTTAGCTTTCCTGTAGTGGGTCAGACAGTGAAGAGACTAGCAAAAATGTAAGAAAATGCTACTCTATTACTGATTTTTTTGGTTAGGCTTGAAAATTAGTTATTTTTCATAGAAATATTACTTAAATAATAGACATTGCGGTTACTTTAAAATCAACTACTATTTTAAGAAATTCTTAGTTTTAATTTCTAGTGATAAATATTGATTGCTGTATTTCACATGCACATAAAAGATCTTTGGAGCTCACTACATTTAAAGAGTATAAAAGAATCCCGAGACCAAAAAGTTTGAGAATAACTGATCTAGAAGGGAAACAGGCAGTTAACAAACAATTGCAGTGTATCCTTTAGTATAACTAAACACTGGGTATAGTGAAAAGCACAGTAGGAGAGGCATCACCTAGCAGAAGAGTCATTAACAGAGATAGCCCAAGTGGCTTTGAAGCACTGATTGAAGTTATTCACAGGAGAAAAGACATTACAGAGCCTTTAAAGGAAGACAGTGATGGGCTCAGAGAGCTGCTTTTCAGAGACAGATTGCCCTAAGAGTTGCGTGGTAAACAGAAGACTATTTTAGCAAAATATGAAAAAACACATGATGTGTTAAAAAATATCCCGTGTATTGTTTCAGAACAAATGTGGTTATCCACCAACCATGGATAATTATTGAATGCTTACAGTGTGTGTTGAATATTCTGCCAGACACAATAAGATGTACTAGGAGTTCCTTTCCTCAATGAGTTTACCACTTTAGCTACTGCTAAGGTATGAGGAAAAGGAATTAATATTTTATATTTTGGGGGAGGGATATAGAGAGAAATACTAGGTGTTTTTTGTTTTTTTTTTTTCCAAAAAAATCAGAATGCAGATTTAGTCAGCTGAATTTAGTTGAATGGTATTTGTGATTACTATTGATTATTTTTAATGATAACTGACATAGGATTTCAGTAAGAATTTACTAACAGAATTCCACATGGGTTGCTTCATGCTCACTACTTTGTTATGACAGGTTAGAAACTATTATCAATAAAGTTTGTGAATTTTTGACTTCTTTGTTTTTCTTCATAGCCTATGATTTCCATTGTAACAACTAAAGTTTTTTTTTAATTCATTAAATGTAGACTCTAATACACGTGTACATGTATTTAGTTTGATATAAAAAGCAGTATTTTCAGCAGTGCCAGATTCTTAGCTTTGTTTCTTATTTTTTTTACAAGTAACTTAAAAATGTGAAGATCAAATGTATTGTAGTATAGCCTGTCTTTCAGAAATCACACACACACACACACACACACACACACACCCATTTGCCGGGGGGTGGTACTTTATAATTTTGCTTTTTATTATTGAGGTGACACTGTTTTTTACAAATTGTATATGATTTAGAAATTAAATTCACATCTCTTCAGATGCATATTAACCCACATCACATCAACCACCAAGCCACCCATAGCCTTCAAACATAGTCCATTAGGAACCCTATCCTCCTTTCAATTTTATAATCAGATTTATAAGGTTTATTTTTGGTTTGGTTTTTTTTTTAAAGATTTATTTAATACAGAACTGGGGTACAGGCCAGAGACTCAGGGGTGGTGAAAGACTTCATCAGAGACAGTGGGGAGCAGAACAGGCAGATTGACGAAGTACACTGCTGAGGGGAGCAGCGAGCGCGTCAGGAGAGGTCTGCCACACCATGTGGTCACCTCCGGGGCAGGCAGGAATTGAACTCATGTGGAAGTGGTTTCAGCTTCTTAGTGCAGTGCTTTAACCCGCTGCGCCACCAGGGAGGGCCTTTGGTTTGGTTTTATTTGGTCCTTTGTTTTACTTCTCTACATTTTTTAACATCCATTAAACCATCCAGTATTGTCTTTTTCCTTTGGGTTCATTTCATAATCCTCTCCATTTCACTCACTTTGTCACCAGTAGAAAGACTTTATCATTATTATAGCTGCCTAGTATTCCACTTTGGATATATGCCATATCTTCTTAATTCGCTCACGTCATTGGGCACTTAAGTTATTTACATAATTTGGCTTGTGAATGGTATTAGATTAAACACAGGAGTGTATATAATATTGCTTCAAATTAGTGTTTCTTGTTTTTTTTTTTTCATTCTTTGGGTAGATATTTGGAATGGAATTTCTGGGTTTTATGATAAATACGTTTTTAATATTTCGAGAGTCCTCCACACTGTTTTCCACAAGAGTTTTACCAGTTTGCATTCCTACCAACAGTATACGAGTGTTTGTTTTTTCTCCACATCCTAATCAATGTTTAATGTGTCTGGGTTTTTTGTTTTTTTTTTTTGATATGGTGCCATTCTTATAGGTGTGAGTTAGTATCTCACTTGATTTTCATTTGCATTTCTCTGATGGTAAGTAATGATGAGTGTTTTTTCATGAGTCTTTTGGTCATTTGTATGCCTTTTCTGAAGAAGTATCTAATTTCTCTGGCCTTTTTTTGAGTTTTTTGTTGTTGCTGCAGTATATAAGTTCATTGATGAAAATGGGATGTTTAAGTCCCCTGCTACTATTGTGTTGCTGCTAGTGACTTTGTTCCTATTTGTTAGTCATTATCTTACATATTTTGATGTTCCCTAGTTTAGTGTGTACTCAATCATAATTTCGATCTCTGTCTCTTGTTACCTTATTTTAGCTAGCTATGCATATATTTTTTCTGCTCTAAGTATGGCTCTCCTTGGGGTCCCATTTGTTTGTAGGGTTTTTTTGATTGATAGGTGTAGTCCATTAATATTTAGAGTGATTATTGATAGGTAAGAATTTTCTGTTGCCATTTTGTCTTTATTCTATCTATTTCTTTGTTAATTTCTCATCCTATCTATCTCGTCGTTTATTTTTTTTGTGGTCTTCCCTCTTCAATTTAGTTAGGAGATCTCCTTTCAACATTTCTTGTAGAGGATATCAAGTATTTACATTCCTTCACCTTCTATTTGGGAGGGCTTTTATTTCTCCCTCATATCTGAAGGTTAGTCTTGCATAATACAGTGTTCTTGGTTGGCAATTTTTATTTCTGAGGATTTTTAATATGTCATTCCATTCTCTCCTTGCTCATAGATTTCTTCAAAAAGTCTGATTTATAAGCCTGATGGGACTATATAGATTATGTGGGGTTTGTTGTTTATTTTTTCCCCTAGGCACTTTCAGTGTTCTTCATCTTGAACTCTTAGCAGCTTCATGTCTATGTGTCTTCATGTAGGTTTTAAAATAACTTGTTTTAACTTCACTGACTTTGTATATTTCATTCCTCTTCAGGTTTGGAAGGTTTTCTTATGTTATTTCTTGGAATAAATTTTCTGTCCCCTTCTCGCTCTCTTCCTTTCTTATGTTGCCTTTGCTGAGTTGGATAAGTACTTAAGTGTGTGCTCATTTTTTTTTTTTCCTTTCAGATTTGTTGTTTTCCCATGTAGGTTCTTTATATGTTATTATCTTCAGTCATTGATTCAGTCTTTATGTCATTATTTTGTTTTTAGATTTCCCCCCAGAATTTTTTATATCCTTCATTGATATTTTTATATCTCGCCCATCAGGTCTTCTTCAATTTCTATTTTCTGTTCCCTAATTTTACTTCTCAGGTCTCTCATAAGTATTTCTGAATTTTGTTGTATTTCTTTGATCAGCTTTTCTGTTTTCTATCATTTCTTTTACTTTCTTTGTCGTAGCAGTTTTGAACTCTGTATCCCATGGAAAGATAAAATCTTCCACATTTTTGTGATTGGATTCCAGGAAGTTGTTCTTTCCTTGAGGTGACATATTCTCTTTGAGGTCTCATGGTGCCATTTGTTGCTTTAAATTTTCCTTTAAAAAAGAAAAGGGGTCTGTAGCAGTAACTTGTACTAATTCTACTTTTCCAGCAGGTGGTAGTCTGATTTTATGTGATTTTTTTTTAGGTCTTTGACATTTGCTGGCTTCCAGAGGCCTGATCTGGCATCTTTTGAGTCAGGGTGGGTGAAGTGCTTAAAAGTGGTCTAGCTGTTGGTGTGAATGTGCTGGGGTGGGGGGGTGAGAATTGATTCATGTTCGTAGCACCAATATCCCTCTTCTCTAAGATTCCAGACCTGATCCTCTGCAGTCTGTGTACTGTCAGTGCACTTCATGAGGTTAGTATCAGTCTGAAGGTTGTGGGTAGGCTGGAGTGTAGCCACTGTATTGTTTGCTGTTTTCATTGGGAACCCAACTTGTGTGTGTGTGTGTGTGTGTGTGTTGGGAGGGGGGGAGGAGTGGTGAAGGAAAGGGATATACCATTTCCTCTATTTCCTCTGCATATATTTCCCCTCAGTCAAAGGTATTTGTCACCACATCTTTTAACTATTCCTTTCCCAGGGTTGCCAGCTGGCAGGTTGGCAAGCACTGCAGTTTTTATGGAGGACTGCGATTTCAGAGTATTTCTCTCTACCCATCTCTTGTTTAATCAAACATGAATTTCCTAAGTATCCCTTCTGGTGCCATCTCTGTTAATCTTCAGTGTCTAAGAGGTGTTCACTTACAGCCCGAATCATAGAACTCTTTAGGTGAGGTGCCAGTAAGGATTCTCAGTTTTGGCTTTTAATAAATAAATGTGAGCCCTCTCCTGTTACCTCTTGAGGAAATCAATCAGACTAAAGACTAAAATAAAAAGAAAACATTAAATGACTTCCAGATTTAAAAAGTAGCAGAATAAAGCAACATAATCTCCCCTGTTTTTTCTTTTCAGAGGAAATGTACATTCATTTTCATATAGAGTTTCATAATTGATTTTGAATCTTGCAGTAGATTAGTTGTATTTTTCCTTCCTTGTTTTACAGTTATCTGTTGATGTATTTGATTCTGCCACCATACTTAGGCAGAAGGATGGCCTCACTTTCACCATTGAGCCTGTCACTGTCACCAAATCTTTGATTTATGCTTAGGAATGTTAGTTGAATGACAGATGACAGAATTTCTCTGTGAGAGAAATCACTTTTTTCCTCTTTGTTGTGTGCAGGAGTTGGGGGAGCTTTAGAGAATGACGATCCTTCCAAAATGGTTATGGTATTGGCTGCTACTAATTTCCCATGGGACATAGATGAAGCTTTGCGAAGGCGATTAGAAAAAAGAATTTACATACCTCTCCCAACAGGTATGATGGTTTCCTTTACTATATTTTGCTCTTTCTGTTTCTTCTTGCTTTCTTTCTATTTCTTTAAGTCTTCATTCCATCAACATTGTGCTTAAAGAAGTCTGCAAGATCATAAAATCATTTTGTAGCAGATGTAAACAGAGGTCATAATCGCTGTTGAAATTCTTTATATTTCAGAGCAATTCTTCCATTCAGAATAGACACATCTTAATAAAATTTTTAGGACATCTAAATTTCTAATTTTAAACTTGAAAAATCTTTGTTAAGTCTTGTTTAAATGATTAAATATGAAGTTTTGGGAATCTTTTTCAAATATCCTTTTGAAAAAAACTTTCACAGCCCTAATGAATGTTGAAATTTCCATATGTGAATTTTTTCCTTTTTATATTGAGATAAAAGTTGTATACAGTAAAATGTAAAGATATTAAGTATATAATTTGATAGGTTTGACAGTGTATATTCCTGTTTATTCATACCCTGCTATAGATGCAGGCCATCTTTATTGGCCCCAGAAAGATTCCGTGTATCCCTTACCAGTTAATTCAAACCCACAATAGGAATTCACTTTCTTAATTGTAATCACCATAGTTTAGTTTTACTTGCTATTAAACTTCATATAAATGGAATAATGACTTTTGTGTTTGCTTTCTGACAACATGCTCTTAAGAATCATCCTTATGGTTATAAGTATCAGTATTTTTTTGGTGAGACAACTAAACAATTTTTCCCTTTTAACAGACCTTTGAGTTTTTTCTAGTTTTAGGTTATTACGAATAAAACTATAAATATTATTATACAAATCTTTTAATTTTTGTAGGTAATACAGATAAGAATAAGATAGGTAATATAATTAATTGATAGATTTCTGGGCTACATTTCCATTTGTCTTTGTTGGCTGCCAACTTTGTATTCCATTTCCCTAATAACCTCATTTCTAAAAAGAAAGTTTTTTTTCCCCTTAAATCAGTACATAATTTACTGATGGAGCTTATATAATAACAAACTCATTTAAAGTAATAATGGGAGTAGTTCATTCACTGCCTGTAAGCTGTCCTGAAGTTAGTATACCTTGTGGAAACAGCATCTTTGTACCTGGCTTGCTCTTTTTATCAGTCACATGAAAATTTGAAATTTTAGTGGTTTGTTATTCTAATTTTAATTTTCTTCCTTTTCTCATTTCTTCATGCTCTCTAAATAAAATGTGTATGATATATAGTACATTTGTGTGAAATGAGTTCTAGCTTTACTATTACGAGTTATAAATAAAAATACTGATGGCTGAAAGTAAAAGTTTTACTACTGGTGCTGACACCATTTATACTTATGTGCTTGGAATTTTCAATCATTATAATAGGAGAAAAAATGTAATTGGAAGAATAGTTGATGATAGTAATTTTCTGAACTCATGAGAGAAGCTTAAGTATGAGAGAAAGACATGGAACAAGGTAGAAATTTTAATTTCTTGGAAATTTGGCAAATAACTTGACTAACTAAAGAGCTCTCTGCTAAGCTTGTTTTCTCTTATGAAAAGTTTATATTCATTATTCAGCTAACCACTTTTGGTTGTTTCACTTTCTCATTACTAGTCTGAGGTTAATTTATGATTATAGAATTTGAGAAATTTCTGTCTCCTAAAAGACTCTGAAACAAGTAATCAGATTCTACTTTTTTCTAACTTTTCCTTTCATTGGTATTTAATACAACAGGAGTTTATTTAGCTCTTGGCTATCTGAAAAAATTTGCTAAATACCATGTGATTATAAAGATAAAAAATAATGTACAACTCATAATATGGCTGGAAAGTGGGCATACATTTAACTTTAGGAAAGCAGTGTAACATGGTATAGTGGAATTCTCCATCGTGCTTTTAGAGTTGAGATTGAAGAATAATAAATTGTGATGTAGGTGCTGGCAGAGAAAGAAACAAAATCGTGGTCACTTCAAATTGAATAGACAAGATACTTATTTTGACTGGAACATCTGTAGGTAGAAGGGTCTGGAAGAAACAAATGATAATGAAAATTTGGAAGGTTGATAAATATGAAAAAATTGGGAATATAAGAAAAATTAATAAAAATAAAGGTAGACTATATTCTTTTAAAAATGGAAGGATATTTATAAATAAAACAAAAGAAATTTTTAGTTGAAAAGGCAGGAATTATGAGAAATAAGATAGATAAAACAAGCATATTATAAATTAGGTAATATAATTTTGTAATATCCAGGGGCAGTTAAAACTTGATGGCAAGAAAAGTTATGTATCACTTACTCTTGTTGTTTAGCAAACTACTCCAGTACATAATGGGACTGAACAATCTTATTTTGCTCACAGATTCTTTGGATCAGGAATTCTGATAGGGCACCACAGGGGAGACTCATGTCTACTCCATGATGTGTGGGGTCACAACTGGTAAGATTCAGTGACTGATGGTATCTCCACATCTGGAGTCTGGAATGATCTGGACTGACCTGGGACCTTAGATGGGGCTGTCTTTCTGGAATACCTTCATGTTACCTGTGGCTGTTCCATGTGATTTGGGCTACTTTAGGTACAGAGACCTCAGAGTTTGTATGTGATGACTTAAGACTCCAACACTGGAAAGGTAGAAGGTTCATTGCCTTTTATCTCATAGGCTTGGAGGTAAAAATTCACAAGCCCATCCATTTTTAAAAGGGGGGGAATTACTGCCTGTGGATGGGAAAATGGAAAAGCCATACTGTAAAAGTGCATGGGATGAGGAGACTCTTCAGCCATCTTGGCAGATAGATATAATCTGCCATACTCAACAAAAGGCAAAAACAACAGCTCTGGTAGAATTTGCCAGAATTTCAATCTCTTCTTCCTATGTGCATCTAAATTATGGCAGCAACTACCAACTCCTTTCTTTTAATTTTAGTTTGTTTTTAGACCAACAGAGCATCATAAAGTCTTTTAGACTGAGTGATTAATTTCTTTTCTCATCATGGTTATTTTTTATTTCAAAGATAACTCAGGGTTAAAGTTCTTTTTTATTTAAACTGCAAATTCACACTTTATTCTATTTGTGTTGTTTGTATTTCTTAGTACTTTATTGTATTTTTCTCCACTGTGACATGCTGCTTCCTGTTTTCATTTCCCAGATTTTTTTCTCTTCCCATCCATTTAAGTTTCATTAATTTTCAAAGTTGACATTGAGGGATACCAATTCTGTGAAGTCTGGCCTATCTTCCTTGTATGGACTTTGTTTCTCTGGATGATTTGTATGTGTTATTTTTCTTCTAGATGTGAGTTAATAGTAGGGATCCTAGGTTTTCTGTTTCCCCATAATCCTATCTGTTAATTGATTGATGAAAGTGGTGGTGATAGAACAGTGCACATTTATTGAGCACCAACTATGGATCAGGCTTTACCTGTGTAACTCACTGTTTCCACATAGCCATCTTACACAGTAGATTTTGTTCTGTTATGTTCTATTATGTCCTATCTAGTAGATTATGTGGAAATTGATATTCTTAGTTAAGTGTCCTACCTAGTGTGACTGAGCCCAGATGATCTGACCCTACCTCACACAACACTCCTCTGCTATGCTGGACTACCTCCTGTACTTACAGCAGGAAGTGTTGTTATTACAAGAAAAAGTGTATGACCCTTCTGGTAATGTTTATTTAAATATAGATGCATATTAATTTGGCTCTATAGCATTGACAGTTCGTTTATATTATAGTAACACATTTGTCCCCTCCATAAGTTTATTAAATATCATTAATTCATTGTTATAGCACTGATAAGTCTTACTTAGAATCGTTTTAACAATCACTGATACAACAAAAAGTGAATATTTAATTTTCTCAAATCATAGTTACTCAGGAAAAGGGGGACACTTTCTGTTAACCATTAGTACCACTGATTTCTCACTTCCGAACAAGTTTATGCTTCAAAGTTCATTTAAGCTGGTTGTCTGAATCTGTTTTTGTGGGAGAGAATACAATATTTTAAACTTGGCATTTTAAGTTTTTACAGCAGGTGACATTGTAACATTTGATTTCAAATATAATAATTTTTTTTAAAGAGCAAATTTATTAGAATCAAGGGCAGTCAGAGAAGGACACTTGATAGACGCAAGCGGGCAGGAAGAGCTGCCATATAATGGTATTCTAACATAGGGACTGAAATAACAAATGTGGTATTTGTTTGTGATATTTGTACATTAACATTCATTTGCTATATGCAGAGCACCAGGAAATTATGTTCTTGTGTTAAATTCAGAGTTCTGACTTTGGCACCAAGAGCTGTGTAGTTCCTGTAGCAGTGAACCTAGCAGCTTCCTCTCCTTCTTTCTCCTTATATCCCTTTTTCTGATCACCTGTATGGAGGATTTTCTTGACCCTACACCACCTGTGGTGTGCTCTTGTATACCAAAAGGTGGCCTATTGGCTGGTAATGGTCAAGGATAAAAAACTTCTAAGATTAAGAAATTCTGGAGGTAAGTTTTTCTAGTTACACCTTTATTTTTTCCTAGCAATCCCAGTAATGCATACTTAACTTCTCTTTCCACTGTAACTATGCTTTGTATTGCTTTACTTTGTATTATTCTAAGAGTATGTGTGTATGAGAGAGAGAAAGAGAAAGAGAAATGTTAACTCATACAGTTACATGTGCAACCACTGTTCAGTTTATAATTGGCAAAGCAGACGGCCATATAGCTACTTTCTAGGGAAAGAAGTGGAGCATTGTCAGATGTCAGAAGTCTCCCCAGTGTGGTCCTTCTTTTTATAGAAATAACTTGGAACTCTTGGTAATTTTACCACCTAATAATGTACCTCCCCCAAACAATTTTATGTCCTCTTAAAATTGACATAAGTGAAATAGCATTAATTGAGCTCATTTTATGTTGCTTCTTTTGCTCACTTGATATTTAAATTTTATCCATGTTTTAATATGTAGATACAATTTACCTTTGATAAGACAAAGGGAACAATAATGACAAAATTGCTATGTGTTATTGTATTAGTTTGCTATCCTTTCTGTAATGTAGTGCCACAGACAAGTGGATTAAACAGAAATTATTTTGTAGCTCTAGAGGCAAGGAAGCCAGAAGTCTTAAGGTGCAGATGTCAGCAAGATTGGTTTCATTTGGGGGCCTTTTTCCTTGGCTCAGAGATGACCATTTTCCCCATGTCTTTGTGTAGTTATCCTCTGTGTATGTTCATTTTCTGATCTTTATAAAAATACCAGCCATATTGTATTAGGGCCCACCTTATGACTTCCTTTTACCTTAATTCGCTCTTTTGAGGGTACTTTCTCCGAATACTGTCATATTCTGAGGTATTATAGCTTAGCACTTCAACATAAGAATTTAAAGGGGAACATAGTTCAGCCATAACATTCATTGTTACATGATTATACTACAATTATCTACCGTATTATTTGATGGACATTTTTATTGTTTCCAGTTTTAGATTATTATAAACGGTACTGCTATGTGAACATCCGTACGTCTGTATACTGGTGCAAATGTGTGAGTTTCTTTAGATCTACCCTGAACAAATTGCTAGGTAATGTTGTATAAGTTGAATATCATTAGTTCCCAGATAATTTTCCCAATTTACATCCTACTAGTAATGTTTGAGAATTCCTATTGTTTCACATCTTTCCAACATCTGGTATTGTCAGCCTATTCAGTTGTATCAGTCTTTTGTATGTAGTGTTTTCTCATTGTGTTTTGACTTCTTTATTCTGTATTTCCTTTATTATTGAAGAATTTGAGCATCTTTATTGGCCATTTGGATTTTTTGATGTGTCCATATCTTTTGCACTAGATAGTCTGACTTTCTTACTGTTTTATAGAAGTTTTAAAAATATTTTTGATATATCTTTATTACATGTTTTGTAAATGTCTTAACTATAACTTGTGTGTTTTTCCTGTATTTACATTATTTTTTGATGAATCAGTGTCTAAAGTTAATGTGATTTTTATGGATATTTTCCTTTGCAGTTAATTTTCTGAATATGTATATGTGTGTGTGTGTGTATAAAGATTTGTTTATTTATGCATACCATAACTGAGTTATAGGTCAGAGGTGTAGGGGTGATGAGAGGATTCACCAGAGACAGAATGGGGAGCAGAACAGAACAGGCAGATTGATGAGGTACACTGCTGAAGGGAGCAGTGAGCGAGACAGGAGAGGTCTCCTGCACCTTGTGGGTCATCTCCCTGGGATCAAACTTGTGCTGAAGTGGTTGTAGCTAGCTTTGTAGTGCTGTGCTTTAATCCATTTTGCCACTAGGGAGGGCCTGATTTTCTGAATATATTTTTAATATATTCAGTGTGCCTAAGAATATTTTGAAGTTTTTGAGATCACATTTAATCTTCGTAAATACTTAAAATTTTGCACCTGGCATTTAGGTCAGTAATATAGTAAGCACCAAATTTAAATTGGGCCTTACCCCATTTAATTTTTTTTCCTTGTGTATAGTTACTTGTTCTGACATCACTATTTATTGAAATAATAATAACTTATTAAAGAGCCACTTATTTCTCCCATTACTTGAACTTTGTCATAAATCTAGTGTCTACAAGATGCTTTGGTCTTCTTGTAGACTCTTTATTCAATATCATCAACCTATTAGTCAGTCTCTGCAAGAGTATTAGGCTGATTGACTTCTGTTGCTTTCTAGTAAGTATAGAAATCAGGTGGAGCAATTCCTCCTATCTTGTTGCTGTTTTATTCAGGGTCTTGGCTGTATTTTATTCTTCCTATTTCCATAACATTTTAGTACCTGTCAGGTTCCACATACAGATTTTTTTTTTTGACTCTTCATGGAATGCCTTGACCCTATAAAAATCATTTGGGAGGAGAATTGTCAATGTGATGAAAGATAAAAAATAAACACTGAGAAATAGTTATAGAGATGACTGAAGAGATTTAATAACTAAATGCTGTGTGTAATGGTTTTTAAGAAAGTTATAAAGCCCTGGGATAAGTGGGGATATTTTAATATGTATTGTGTATTAGATGCTACTAATGTACCTATGCTAAATTTTCTGATAAGTGTGGTTATTGTGTTCATAGGCAATACATGCAGAAGAATTTAAGATGACGTGTCGTTATGTCAGTATCTAAATTCTAAGTCGAAATGTTTGTTGGGGGCCTCCTTGGTGGCGCATGGGGTTAAATCTCAGCACTATGAAGCTGTTGGCAACCACTGCAGCATGAGATCATCCTGGCCAGGGAGGTGACCCGATGGCGATGGCGCAGCAGACCTCTTCTGATCTGCCCACTGTTCCTCCTCAGCAGTGTATTTCAGTCAGTTGGCGCGTTCTGATCCCCCCTGTTTCTGGTGAATCTTCTCACCTCCTGTACCTCTTGTATGCATAAATACATTTTAAAAATGTTTTCAAAAATGTTGGTTGAGGTAGGAGGGGAGGAGGAAGAAATAATGACAAAATATTGACTATTGACAAATCTAGATGAAGGATCAACTGGTATTGTTTGATTTTTTTCCCCCTATAGATTTAGTATTTTCAAAGTAAAAGTTAGAGAAGATTAAATTTCATTTTTATCAGAAAGTAGTAGAGAACTAGATCTGGACCAGTTATGTTTCATATTAGTGTGTCACATCAAGCAGATTTGATGCTAACAAAATAGCAAGCTGACAAAACAGTAAGCATGATTGGTTATTTTAAAAATTCTATAGTTTGAGCTTATTCAATATGCATTTCAATAAAACCGGAACAGTAAATGAATGTGGGTTCTCTTTCCAAGCAAAATATATATTAATCATTTTATGCCAATTGCTGATTTCAGGAAAAGATAACTTGGATCTTTTTAGATTACCTATTAGAGTTACAGAAATAATTTCTTTATTGTACTAAAAATAAAGAGTGAGCAAAGTAATTCATAGGAATTATACTCCATACAATTTAGCTTTATAAAACTAGGATAAATATTTTTTAGCAAAAGCATTTCTGGTGCTTGCATGCTGTTGTTTTCCATAAAGAATTCCAGACCCTTTATTCTCATAGCACTTTTTTGCAATCTATAAGGAAGCCCCTTAAGTCTTGTTTGTCAGTTGGGCGTTGTGTCAATTTTTAATTACTGCAGCAAAGGCATGTAGAAAGTTAAATAATTATTAATCATGCAGTGAATTGGTAATTCTGCTTAATTCACTGTTATTGACTGTTCGTTGTATTAATATTTTCCCTGTGAATGTTAATATATGATTTCTTGTCAAAATTATTTGCAACATAAAATACTTAACAACAACGATCACCTTCTAACAGCAAAAGGGAGAACTGAACTTCTGAAGATCAATCTTCGTGAGGTTGAATTAGACCCTGATATTCAACTGGAGGATATAGCTGAGAAGATTGAGGGCTATTCTGGTGCTGATATAACTAATGTTTGCAGGTACTATTTTATTTTTTTTATTGCTGAGTTTTTTTTTTTATTTTCATTTTTCTTTTTTTTTTTTTAAACAGTGTTTGCTTTCTTTTCTCAGATGTAGTCCCTATAGAAGTCCCACCACCAATTCACCTGTGCACCATCACCATAGTCCCTTGTGCTCTCATCCTTGTCTTGAACCCTTCCATGACCTATAACCTTGGGTATTAGAGATGGCAGTTGGATTGGTCTTAGAGCTTGTATAGTTAACCTTTCATGTGACAGCAGTTATCCAGGTCCTGGAATTGATTTCTCATTTGCCTTTTTTTTTTTTCTTCCTATCTTTGTTGATGATTAAACACATTAGTTTCCTTCAATTTTTATTGAAATTATTGTGCCTAAATTGGTAATGACTGACAGTTTAAGGTTAATGTAACCCTAAACATGATTGACAATTTAAGGTTAATGTAACTCTAAACTACAACCTAGCTGTATCAACATAAAATACTATTTTTTTTGGGCATTATTTCACTACATGCAGATGAACTGATTTGATCAGTTTAAGCTGTGGAAGGTAGATATAAAATATATGTATAACCACACACACTTATTATGTAATGATGTCACTAACTTGAAAGAAAATTACTTAGACTTTTAAAATGAGTTTTCAGAGTAATTTCTATTATATAATCACTGTAGTAAAATATGTAAAAATTTTAAGTTTTTTTTTGTTTGTTTTGCCCTTCTTAGTTGATTTTTCATGATCTCTAATGATCTGCTTCTGCTAAACCTTCATAACTATTTACAGGTGAGCAAAATGGAGCTGAAAATAGGGTGTGGAGAAACCAGAGTTCATTCCTTTAGTTGCCCGCAAATACTGTATGTGGGGAATTCCCCACCCACTATAGGGGAATATATATATTCATGTTCCAGAGAGAGAGATTCTTGGCTATACCAACAACCTAAGATAATTCAAGTCTTATACTAGTTTGTCTATAACCTAATTACAGAAGGTAACCATATGTTCATTTTCCAGTGTGCAATTCAGTATTTCAGAATTCTACTTCATTTTCCTATACTTCTTGTCTGTCTTTGAGGAACAAATGGAGAAAGAAGCTTTCAGTAAATTTGAGCCTCACTAGACTTTTAGGATTTATTAATGATACACTTTGGATTGAAGTGGTATGAGCTCTAGTACAGATTTTCCTGACCCCTTGGGGTATGTGTCTCTGAATTGAAAAAATGTGGGCAGTGTAGAAAACAAAATGGCCTTTTAAAAATGTTTTCCTTTAACTTTGAAAGTGTGAAGAAAATTTGCAATACTAAATAGTCACTAATTTTGGTATATTTTTAGGGATGCCTCTTTAATGGCAATGAGACGGCGAATTAATGGCTTAAGTCCAGAAGAAATCCGTGCACTTTCTAAAGAGGAACTTCAGATGCCTGTTACCAAAGGAGATTTTGAATTGGCTCTTAAGAAAATTGCTAAGTCTGTCTCTGATGCAGACTTGGAGAAGTATGAAAAGTGGATGGCTGAATTTGGATCTGCTTGAATTTCTGTCAGCTTTTTCATTTATGGTATTTTTCTTTATAAAGTATGAAGAAAGTCCTACCATTTTTTTCTTAAAAACAGGTTTGGAATTTTCACAGGTTTGGAGAGATTTTCACTTAAAAGAAAAAGAAAAAAAATCTAAGACCAGAAAGACTATTAAGTGTTGTCATATAAGAAAAATTTACAAGGAGTGCCTGGTAGTCTCCATCTCCTGGCTTTGTGCTCCTGTTCCACATGTCCATGCACTGTGTTGCACACTCTAACCAGTGTGTGTGGGAGGCTGAGGAGATCGAGCAGTGTGCTGTTGCAGAAACCTGTTTTTAAAAGATTTCAGAAAGGACGCTGTTTCTCACTTGAATTTTTAGGGTTTTTGCCCTCATTTTTCTGAATGTGAAGGACATATGTATAAGTCAACTTTTAACATTGAAACTGTTTGTCAAATTCCTTGTTAAGAAAAAGTAGTTTGGGATTAAATAATGAACACTTTAAAATTCAAGTATTACTCTTGAAATCTAGGATATAATTAAAACTTTTACCCTGTTTCCTTACCATTCTTCTATTAGCTATTTAATAATTTATTGAGCTTTATGGGGCATATCTTCATGCTTTTTAGTTCGTTTTTGAATTATTTTTGCTAGATCATTTCTTTGTTCTTCAGTTTTTTTGTTGGTACCTTTTGTATTTCATCATATTTGAAAAGTAGGAAGGTTATTTATGATGGCACAAGATGCACTTCATTCTAGACTTCTAATATTTTTCACTTTTCTCAATATGTTCAAAAAGATAATCTCTTTGTTTTTTTTCCTCTGCTCCAACATTGTTTCATTTTGCTGAATTTGATGCTCATCCTCTAAGTAAATACTTTGGTATTCTAAACATGGCCACTCTTGGGGCTAGTGCAAAGCAAACAAGATAAAATATAGTTTTCCAAGACAGCTTTCTTAACAAAATAAAATCATACATAATAGATGATGTTCATTTGAAAATTTTAAAGTTGTTCCTTGTTTAGTTTGAGAACTTGTACACACAAGAATTAGTATTGAAATTTGACATGCTTATGTAATTCAGTAGGAATTAGACTGTAGAAAGAAGCCTTAAAAAGTAGATGGTGTATATCTAATCACAAGTAAAGACTCCTGCTTATTAGTGTTTTAAAATTACATTTATCCTACTTTCATTGGGCAACCTATGCATCAAGTTCGAACTTTTCAAAAATTGTAATTTGACAAGATCTTAAATCTTTAATTTTCAACTGTTCCCATAGGCTTAAAACTAAAAATAGTATAAGTTCTTAGATACTCAAAGCAACAAAACAAAACCTTAGTATCTTGCTTAAGGTATTTTTTTCCTCTAAGAACTGTGTACTTTGCAGATAGTTTAATTCTTACTCTAAACTCCAGTATTCATCTAATGCTGAATCCCTCCTTTCCTTTGAGGCAATAAATGGTAAGAGTTAAAATCATAAGGCATCATGACTTTACTTCAGTTTAATTAATCTTAGAATTTGAAGTAGGTTTCCTTTTACCCACAAAATTCTAAAATACAGAAATAATCATATTAAGATTACTTGCAAATGATTGTCATCCTGTAACACTTTTCTCCCTGAAGTCCTAGTGTTAATTGTTAAAACATTAGTGTTTTGGTTACTAAAACTCTTTGTATATTTTAGTTAATTAGTAAGAACATTTTTCTAGATTTTGTGTTATTTGTCTTGGCATGCATGCATTTCAATTTTTTTTTTGAATTCTTCATAGTTAATCACAGTAATTGTGATTTAAAAAATTTCACAGTTAAGCAGTATTAGGTGACTTCCTGGAAGTTTATCTTTACTAGGTTAAGTGAGTCAGGTGTGCTTATTTTTATTTCCCTTGTTTCTCATTTTGCTCAGTGGATGGTGAATGCTTTGTATCTTAAACCCCTACAAAACCCTGAGGAGACTTCTCAGGTTTTCTAGCCAATTTAATGTACATTTTATGTATGGTGTTTTTATTGTAAGATGTGTGTTGCCTTACACAGAATGACAGACTTGTGTTTTGCGTTTTAATTTTCTTTTTCTATGCTGCTTGATCAAATTAAAAAAAATTTTTTTAATATATCTGAAACCTAATTTTGGGGGGTTTTGCAACATGGTGATTTTAGGACTAAGTTTTGTACAATTCTGTTTTGTAGGTATTTGATCAGATAGTTTCTTTGTTCAGAAGATTTAATTGGTTGTATAAAACCCTTAGGTGGGAGCTTTGTGACCTACAAAGTTGCATCAGGCTATACAGTTCTGACTGGGCATCTCTAGCTTCTGGCTGGAGGTAATGAAATGAGTTCAGATCACAAATGGAAAAAGCATTATAATTTGTGAATGCTTTGGAAATAATGTATATAAATTTTTTTCTCTTTAAATCTTTTAAAATTAGAACTATTTATTTGACAATACAGCTATTAAAGATTTATTTCCATAAATCCTTTTTGTTATTCCCCAGCTATACTTTAGTCATAGAAACAAGGCAGATGTTCCTTGTGTATATCGTGGTCTCATAAGTTCTTTTTAAAAGGAAATTTCTATTGATGAAATGTACCAGACAAATGACTCTTTATATAGCCTGAAACCTTATGTAATTCCAGGAGAAAATAAATGGTGACACCACAGACTTTGTCTTCCTATCAGTGGCAGTGTAGGCATTCCAAAATGAGTGAAACACAATTTGGTTCAACACCACCCTCCAAAAATACCAAGACAGCTTGGTAGAAAAGTCATGTTATGGTTTATCTGCATAACTGGGCACTTCATTTGTGCTTCTGAGATTGCACATTTTGTCATGTGATAAAAGTGACTATCAAAATATACAGTGATATCCTAATAACCCAGAAAATGAAAAACCGAGTAGTTGGTGAATCTACTGTGAACATATATTGATGCATCAGAAAAAAAAGGTGTGGATCAAGCCTGTATCTACAATATAATATCTACTCTCATTCACTTTGCTACATGTAGCCTGACTATTGAACATGAAATTATTGATACTCTCTTTAGGTTTTGAACAGCTTGAATCTGTTTGAATTCTCTTGTTAGAAGTTTCTTTATAGTTGATGAAATCATAAACAGCAGGCAGTTGACATATTACATTTTGTCTCCTACTTTATCCCAAGTTTAGATAAAGAATCAGGCAGTTATTTTGTGTCATTTGGGCTTTGGGCCTTCAGTATTGTCTTGATTATTAAATGTTTTTTGTTTTTTGCATAATAATAGGTTCCTTCTCTTACTAATGATAAATCACCTTAGGGTATATCTTATAAGGTAGGTATAAAATGTTAGGGATACTTACTGGCTTTTTCTAAGAAAGGGCCACCTTAACTTTATGAGGATACAATTAATAGTAATTAATTACTATTATATACAATTAATAGTAATGTTAATAGTAATTAACATTTTTGTTATCTTTTGTTGCTTAATTATTTTGATTATGTTTTTACAAATCACTTAGTTTGTGATGCACATAATATGTGAGACTATGAATTATAGTTGGAGGGTATGTTAGGGGAATAAAAATATTTAAACGCCAAATATTTGAGTCTCATCACTAATTATTTTTGCAGTAAAAGCTGAAAATGGTTATAATTACTGTTTATACTTATTTATACTTTTAAATTAGGCTTTTAATATTTATTTTTTTAGTATATTTGCTTTTAATATTGTTTCTTAATGTGGAAACTGTATTTTAAAAGTCAGATCCTTAAGATAGTTATGCTTTAAAACAGTAGTAAATTAACAGTAGTTCTTTGAGTTTTATTAGGTTTTTTTTGGGGGGGGTTAGGACAACTTTTTAACTTTAGTGATCATATTTCTAAATTTCCAGGTCACTTGTTAATTAAAACAGGAAAAATTTTAAAGTAACATCATAAAAACCTTTCATTTATTAATTTACCTTAGTTTGTATATGTGTATAAATGACCTGGATATTGCTTTTTCACCATCTGTGTGTGGGCTTTTGTACATTTGAAATTTGGCACAACAAATAGGGAATTAATGGGAGTTTTTCCTCATATACAGAGGCTCCCACTTGATTTTATGTTCAAAACTATAAAATGCACTTTTAGTTTACAACCTCTATAATGACTAAGTGCTCTGGAAAACCTGAGCCTGCACAGGTCTCTACCTCAGTCATCCAGGCTTACAATGAGTAGGAATGAACTGAAACAAAGTTTAAATTCAACTTATTATCTATGCACATTTATTTAAGTCTTCCTTCTCTTGTCCTCATCCCTTAACTTTTTTTATCCTGAAATTTTTATTTAAAATACTTGTCTTTCTTTCTCTGGCAAAGCCATATATTCCAAGTAAACCACTATGAAATATTTGACTTAGCCCCTCTCAGCTTCATTATGTGGATGTATTTGATTCTAAGGAACAGTTTCAATTTTTACACACATCTATTTTCTAATAGCTTTATATATACAAAATAATGTGACCACATTTAAAAATCTTGGAACCTATTGTTCCTGTGTTCATTCTCTAAGAACCTGAGTACAGTAAGTCCTCACTTAATGTTTGTAGGTTCTTGGAAACTGCATCTTTAAGCAAATGGTTGTATAACAAAAGCAAGTCCTCCGTTGGTTCTGTATCTTGGGTATTGTTTTATTCTCATCAATGTTATAACAAAGCATTGTGCTGTTATACAGCAGCATTGTGATGACATGCTGTACTTTACGAAAATACACAGAATTGGACACATCTATTCAATATTCACAGGGTGGGGAATTGCCTATAGGTAACGTTATGTGAATACCAGGTCCAGTGAGATCATTACTTGTTATGATTGATTGTGTGTTGTTAAGATTTCAGTTTCAGTGTTTGTCACCCAGTATTTTGCACCTAATTAAAAGAAAAACATTTGTAAATTGTATTTATTAAATGTGCTTTTCCTTAAATTTTGTGCTGCTACCTGCTAATCATGACCTTAGTTGTGTTTGTGCATAGGTTATGACTTGGTAATAAATTTCTAGTATTGCTTGTCAGTGTTTTCTTTGTGATTCCTATATGATCTATAGTCAGTAGTCTACTTGTTGCTGAATATTAATGGAAACAACAAACCCCCGCTAGTAAGGAGTGACTTTGCCCAGAGCTTTAGTTTTTAAAATATCGCTTACATTGAGTAGGAATGAACTGAAACAAAGTTTAAGTTCAACTTATTATCTATGCACATTTATTTAAGTCTTCCTTCTCTTGTCCTCACCCCTTTTTTCATCCTGAAATTTTTATTTTATGATTGCTGTACATTATATTAATTTCAGGGGTGATGTAGGTAGGACTTTTCAGTTGATTATAGTCAGTCTTATTTGTGTACTGCAGTTGCACAATGGATGTATCATATGGTAAATTTTCCAAATTTTACTATCTTATTTTATGAATCTCCCAAAACTGTTTAATTCATATGTTTGACTTTTTGAGCAGTTTTAAGTTTACAAAAACATCAAGCAGATACCCCATATGTAATATTTTGCTTTAATTTGTGTAAACCTAAAAATTCAGGAGACATTGAAAAGGCAAAATATATTTATTTGAGATCAAAGAATTGTAATTCAGGGAGCATAAATTCAAGCAGAAACCCAAAAATATGTCCTGAAGAGAGATAAAAGTTGGGGTATGTATATGTAGAGAAAAAAACAGGCTAGAAGACAGAGGTGATGATTGAGGAAATGGACGGGTGAAAGAATCATAAGGTGAAAATGATTAGGTGAAAGGGAAGTTTGCAAAATAAATTTGTAAATGGTCACTTTTATCAGTCCTTTCAAACAGATCGATCCTATTCTTACTGGACTCTTGAATGTTGGTGGTTTGGCCCAGTTCAAGGGTTTGGTATGGTTTAAAAGAGACGGTAAAGTTGGTTTGTTTTGGCTACTTCAGCCCCAATTCAAAATGACCCCACTATTTCAGCCTTTCATTAAATTGACAATGGGCATCATCACTGTTGAAGTTTATAGTTTATACTGTCTCATACAGATCAGTTAGACTGCCCTGTCATCTCATCTCTGTTCTCTTTTCCTTCTCCTAGCCCCGGGCAATCTTTTTACTGTTTCTATAATTTTCCTTTTCCAAAATGTCATGTATTTGGAATCAGGCTGTATGTAGCCAGGCTTCCTTCACTTAGCAATATAAAACTAAGATTCCTTTGTATCTTTTTGTGATTTGAGAGTAAATTTTTTGTTAACCATGAATAGTATTTCATTACTTGAATGTGCCACTTTGTTCATCTATTGAAGGA